GAGATGGTCCGCCTTATTGGAGAACTCCGGACGGCAACCCAGGAAGGACAATTGAGACAGTGGCTTTTGGCAAAGCTGTAAAAATAAAACTCGAGAGAATTAGTTATTGTTATTACAACGTGACTTCACTATTATTTAACAACTCTTTTTATTGGGTTCTTTTATTTGGGGTTAAGTACATTGTCAGAATAAGTGAGAAATGAATTTTAACTTCTGTTAGACAGCTATCATACTGAATAAATATTTACTGTGAATGTATGCAAAAATGTATGGCATATGGCTGTCTAACAGAAGTTAAATTAATTTCTCACTTATTCTGACAATGTACTTAACCCCAAATAATAAAAGAATCAAATAAAAAGACTAAATAATCGTGAAGTCACGTTGTAATAACAATAACTCATCTCTCTCTCGTTTTATTTTTCAGCTTTGCCAAAAGCCACCGTGTCAAGTGTCCCTCTTGAGTTGCCGTCCGGAGTTCTCCAATATGGCGGACCATCTCGCACATGCGCAGTACAGATCCGTCCCACTGCCCGATCGGTACTGCGCATGTGCGAGATGGTCCGTCATATTGGAGAACTCACGATGGCAACCCAGGAAGGACACTTGACACAGTGGCTTTTCGCAAAGCTGAAAGATGTTAAGTGTAGGGACGAGGAGTCATTTAACCAGCCGCCAGTAGGAGTCAGGCTTTACTTTCTGAAGTATCCATAAAGAAAAAGTAAATCTGTTTACAGTTCTGTTTCATATGGATGTTGAGAGGTATCCATATATCTCTTCGTTTTGCTCTCAAAGTGCACCAGATTGATGCATTTAACTTCAATATTTAAAAAAAAAAAAAACTTCCCGGGGGAGCTTGCCCCCGGACCCCCCCAGAGGGGTTGGGGCCCCCCCCCCCCCCACTTAATCCCCCTAGAGGGTGTCAGGTCCACTCCCGACTTATAAAAATAGCACTTTACCACTGCACCCCCTCTAATCTCAGATGCACCCTGAGTCATTTGTTTAAGTACAGTGAGCCTTTCTAAAATATACAGTAAAGAGACAAACCCACCAGCATTATAGGATATACTATGACTTTGAGCCAAATACTTGTTTTTGGGCTGTATAAATAAATTGACTTGAAACAGTTGCTGATTTAGAGTACTGGCACCTTTTTTATTCCAATTCAAGCACTTCTTGCTGAAATGAATACTGCAGCATTTCTATTTTTTTCAGCATTGTGCACTCTACATTTCTTTTTGGGTGGTGATTAACCCCCTGCTGTCCATTATGTTTTGTTTCATGTATCATCTTGCTGTGTCCTGCAGATATCAAGATGGACCAGGAAGAAATGTTGGCAAAGCTGAAGAAGGACATTCGTTCTTTGCTTATTTCGTCTAAGTTTGGCTTAGAGGCTGATCGGCTAAGGCGAGACTATGTGACCATGTTGGGGCATCCCATGCCCTTAAAACAACTGGGCTTCAGAAACATCATGGATATGGTGAAGGACATGCCTGACGTTGTGTCGGTTAACTTCAGGGTAGATGGCAGCATTAATTTGAAAGGTATAGTCCTTTTGCGTATGCATTAATCTATTTTGTATATTATTTTCAATTCCACAATGAGGGGGAGAATAAATACAACATACAAGTGTTTGATAAATAAGTCCTCTCAAACATTTGGCATCTGCAGCTATAGGCGACGATTCAACCCGAAGCATCCAGGAGCTGGTAGCTAAGCAGCGCACATCAAAGAATGACAAGACGTTCAAGAGGGGAGGGGTCAGCTACTTCTCCCCCCGGTACTGTTACAAGTACGCCCCTGTATTTCTTCCCAGAAGAGGCCGTGTTCCTCCGCCTGTCCCTGCCCAGCTGAGGGCTCAGCTACGCATCCTGCTCAGCCAGGTAAGATACGAAGGCTTCTGTGGAATTTTGCTTTTATGGCCTAATGATGGCTAAATTGTTTACAAATAATTCTAAGAGAGACACATCAGATAAGTTGACTTACTGGTCTGTTTGGTTTCTACAGTCAGTAGTTTATAATAAAACAAAGTCATGTTGTTTTGATACTGCTAAATATTTTATGGTTTTTATATGGCTGCTCTCCCAGGGTCCCCTCAGGTTATCCGACCTGGAGTCTAGCTACCTGCGCTGCTTCGGCCAGCCGCTGCGTGTCCACAACTACGGCTTCTTCTCCACTGGAGAGATGCTGGAGGGATTGGCAGACCTGCTCTTTATCCAGCAGGGCAGGCAGGGCTCAGTACTGACCCTGAGGGAACATATGGTGCCAAAGCCAATGTTCAAACCATATAGCACCCCTAAGAGGACTGGACTCATTAATTCAGTATCCCCTAGAAATGACATGCCAACCTCCAAAAGGCAAGATACCAGAGCTCCGACACAAACAATATCCCAAGGTGAGTCATTTTCACATTTTGAACATCTTTCCAGAATCTGTCCCTGAAAAGAATCCATTGCAAGTGTTCTCGGCAAGGCATGCTCATATTTCTCAGCCTTGTTTCTTTTCTTTCGCATCAGTTTATTTTTCTTTAAATAATAACAAAAAATGTATTTCTATTTGGTTTACTCCAGCTAAAGTCCAAGTGAAGCAGAGTCCCCCGAATCAGCGCACCCATGTGAATACCTTTTTCCCTGTTCAAAAAGAGTCAACGAATGTCAGTAACATGCCACAGGTGGTAGAGAAAAACCGTGAAGTGGACCCAGACCTCTGTCAGGAAGGTCAGCTCTTTCAGAAACGTGTCCTCAAGGTGAGAAATTAAAGAACCTGCAGCTTGTTGCTTGGAGCAAGACAATTATCTTGGTCTTTCTACTCACTTACTCTATTTACTTCAGCTGGAGGAGGAGCTTCGCCTGCAAATACTTGAGAATGGAGTCGCTGGCTCCATCAGTCGGGATCTGAAGGACAAGCTACGAAAGGTCCCACTTCCTGCTACTGTAGTTTAAAAGCAGATGTCTTTGTGATTTTATCCTCTATCATGCTTTGCTTTCTCTGCAAGTCATGGTACAGAATGAAACTTCAATCTCTGTAACAAGTTTTGTATTTAATATTTTTATGACATTACAACTCTTTACAGGTTGTAGGTCAGAGCAATGGTGGATTATCTGTGCACGATCTGCCTGCTGAGTACAAGGTAAAGAGACATAGTCCTGCACTTGTCCTGTTCACCTTCATTTTGTTAGTGAGGGTTTAGACTAATAAACCGTGGGGTTGGGAGCATAAGAACATGTTCATTTGAGGAAGTGGATTGAGTCCTAAAAGTATTGGCTCCACTTGTATTGAGCATCTTACTGCTCACATTTAGCCTAACCAGTAAAAGTGATTAGGGATCAGGGAAAAAGTAAATTTTTCTTCAATTCAGATTATATTAAATTATGTGTTTTGCTCCTCAGAGGCTTTTTGGGGAGGACTTTCCACTGCTTCAGACCGGCTTTGTCAGTGTCACAGAACTAGTCAGTGCCATGGGTGACACCTTCAACCTGAAACCTGTAGTGGGCAACAATGTGGACTGGATAGTCATGGACATGCAGGACTGTGATGATACACAATCAGGTGTGTATGTTCAGATATCAAATCAATATATCCCCTATTACTTCATTAGGTGTTAAATCAGGCAGGCTGGGAAAAAAGTCAACATGAACAATGAATTTGTTGTTTACACTTGCTGCTGTAAGTGCTATCAGTTTCAATGTATCACATTTAAATGTAAAGTAACTAACCTGGACTTTTTTTCTTTCTTTTTATACAGTAGACTCAAAAGCGACTTTAATGAACAGTTTGAAGTTGCCAGTTAAGAGCTACTATTTCAGCTGTGGAGAGTCTCCTTGGGAACGCCAACTGGAAGAAGACGATGAGAAATCCACAGCAGACGAGAAGAAAGAGGATCTAGTAGAGACCAATACCACTTTGAAGAGCACCACAATGGTGAGGAATCATCTTTTGTACATAATTAGTCTTTTAAGAACCCTCTTTAAGAGAGACTTATAAATAAAGATTTTGTCACGTAGTCAGAATCAGAAATCAGTCATTTGTCCAACGAGGGAAATTTACAGTAAAGAGACAATGCGGGTGAAAGACAAAAATAAAAGTAAGTAGGTGAACATATTCAACAAAAAAAGGAAAACACATTTTGTAAATAAATAGGTAGAAACCATGGTGAAAATAAGAAACAGCATAATAAAAGTAAGTGAACTAGCACCCTGTCTTGACATTAAAGAGCCTGTGACAGCATCCCAACAACTGTTGTGCAATGAAATATTGGACTACTAGTCATCTCGAACTGTTAGTTTAAAAAAGAAGGTGCGATACCGTTCCGATAAATATCAATAACTTCGAACATCGCGTGGAAATTCCTTCGACTCATTTTGAAGTTTTGGGGGAAGCCAGAAGTGACATCAATGCGGGAACGCTTCACTGTGCGGCGAGAGAGCCAAACACGGACAAAGTGTGTTGTCATGCGTAGAAATGGTGAATTACTGAGTTTAGGCACGTTAATAACGTTTTAATGAAGTTGACTACAGTATATTCATATTTGTCAGTGCTTTCATGTCAATTCGGCGAACATAAACATAAATGATCGTGGTGAAGATGATGATTAAATTAGGATTAAAAATCGGTAGTGAGAGCTGCTGAATTTCCTCCCGTCAGATGTGATATAAAAACAAATCGATTATTTTTGTAGTTGTAAACTCAAGTGGATGAAACTACATTTATTAGTGCTTTCATGTCAATTCGCCGAACATATGATACATTAAATGATCGTGAGGATGATGATTTAAAAATCGTTTGTTTGAGCCGGTCTGCATTTCCTGATGAGAAAACAAACCTTAGCTTTTTGTAGTTGCAGTCAGTGGTGTAGTGGGCGTTGGACGCGGGGGTACGCCGTACCCCCACTTATTTGAAGCATGATTTCTTTTTTTAATAGTCTAATACATCTAAAATCATTGCCAGTGTTATCAGTTGCAAGTGTGTGTTTGTTGTAATATAAGAGAGAGTGTGTGTTGGACGGTGATTGCAATTTGGGAAATGATAAGTAATTTGTGTAAGTTAACAAGATAAATACATTGTTATGATAAAATTAGGTAGTGTGTGTGTGTGGTGTGGGGGGGGGGTGTTGTGTGTGTCTGAAGATGGCGGAGTGAGACAAAATTAAATGAGCAAGCATAGACTGTCGAACGTTAGAACATCCGATGGAGTGGAGCAAAGAACACGGGAGCCTTTCCCAAACCTCCACTACGGAGCCACTTAGCACGCAACAAACCAGAAAGAACAGGCGTCGTCGTCTTTCTAAAAGTTTACAAACTGTACTTAGTTTTCACCAGCAGTGCAGCTACAAGAGAAACGAGGTTTGTGTCAACGTGCCCACGTTCTTATCAAAGAGGGGGGTGAAACGGGCGCAGTAAATCAATCTTTACCCAAGCAGTCCATTTACTCATACCTAATCTAAAGAGTAGACCCAAAGAGATAGCACACTTCGAGGTGTGCATAGTGGATATCGTCCACAAATGTTAAGACACTTACGCGCTCGATAACTGCAGGTAAGTTCTGCTCAAGCGAAAAAAAGAATGAGTTGAAACACACCTTTTTACGCTCCCCTAATACGCCGGAAAACTATTGTTACGCCGGAAAATTTTAGACCGGTAAAAGACTAATACGCCCATTCAAAGCGCTAGCGGCTTAGCGCAAAAAGGACCACCAGATCGAAATATCTCTGGCGATAATCCTTCATCATGCAAATACTCCATAACAAATTCCTCAAGGCTATGTAAAACATTCAGTCCCCCAAAAGTTGGGGAAATTAAGAAAAGTCACAAACTAAGAACGACGAAAAACGTAAGTGACCCGGGGAGTATAACCCCCCTGTCTACGCCCTCACCAATATATGTAATAGGAAAACTGATTTTGACGGTGAAGTCGTAAGGAGCGGATCTTAGAGCTAGTAGACAGAGGCCCGAACCCTTGAGGCGAGCAAAAAAGCGGCCTTCGCCGTTACATCTTACAGGTCCCCCCAGGTTTGGACGAGGGTGGCCTGGAGGGGTTTCGAGGGACCGAGCTTACCGCCCCAGCCCAAACTGCCAACGAGCCGCCTCGCAGGCCCGTGTGCGTCCGACGACAACCTTGGACCTACAAACATCCATGAAGACCCCTTTGAGTTCCTCCCGCTATGTTTGTTTCTAAACAGATAAAAAGATGTAGTTAATTTTACACCTTGATTTTGAAAAATCTAGGTTGATTTTAAACAAACAAACCAAAGTTTTTATTTTAGTATTTATTAAAACTCAAGGTAGAATGACGCCACTATTCAAAATCTCAATAGAATGACGTATATACCTAGGTTTAGTTGAAAAATGTTTACCGTACGGTTAAGTACTATAACGTGACCTAGTGTGGGTAAACACGAGAATAATTTTCCGGCAATGTGCTCAAATGGGGTAGTAGGTTTGTAGTTAAACTCATTTATAACAGGCGGGACACCTTTTGGCATGAATTGACTAAAAACCTATAAAACATGAAACTATTTGGTTAATAGACGGGAAAGTTAAAACTGGTAAAAGACACTAGGAGAGCCCCTAAGAAGTTCAGGTGCGGTTTAATACACACTGCAGTAACGCCGTGTCGCGAGGTCGAAACGGTGGCAGTTCCAGCGGTCGTAGACGTACATTTGCGGTACTAGCCCGCGTCGTGTCGTCGCCTTCGCGGTCTGTCGCTACTCCCCTCGCATTACAAACTAAGACTCCGAGCTATACTCGACTTCCTAGCCGAATACAACATAGACAATCTTCAAATCCTATAATCCACGGAGTTATAGGCGTAGTATGCCAGTACACTCAGATCACCACCTACCCTAGATTTTTAGTAGGCGCCCTGAGCCGGCCGGGTGAAGCCATGGTGGTCGAGACACAGCGGACAGTCCGTGATGTACTACGGCAAATCCTTTATATTATTATTCCGCCCACGGCCGCGTCGGCTTGGATAGGTCGGAAAAGACGCGCTGATAGTGAGTTTAGCTTTGTATGCAGAGTTACACTCTGCGGCCTGTTTATTATTTTACGACACAACGGTCGGGCGTGTCACCGCCCTGTTGGACCAGTCAAAGTGGGATGTGGTGTGTGAAGACGGGGAGTGTGTGTGTGCTGAAGTTAGTTCAACGTATTACGAACTCCGATCGCAAAAAAATAATATTAATGACACCTTAAGACGTAATAT